CCCCGGGACATGCTACTTCTATCCTCCCAGACCAATGTCCAGGAGGGGCACTGCTGTAGGTTCCATCATTCTGGCACAAGCGAAGGGTGAAGCACTGTCCATCTAGATTAGTGGTAACAGCCAGAGAATCTGAAATCCCCAAACCAGAAACAGCCAAACCAGAACACTCAAAGGTGGGCTCCCCTGAGGATCTCTCAGCAAAGTGCAGCCAAAGTGTGGACCCCCTGTCCTAGAGCCACCACTTTGGACCGTTATATGGCAGACCTACTTCCCATCCACTTCCCTGGAACTTCTCAAATAAGGATGCTGCGGCAGGGAAGGTGGTTGGACAGAGGTGGGCCCAAAGATGTGCAGATGTCATGACTGTGACGTGCCCTCAGGGCTGAGAACAACCCCAACGGAAGTGTCACAGTCACCAGAATCCAGGGGACAACTGAAGTCTGGGACAGCTGTTCCAGGGACATCCACCAGCCCATGTCACTTGGCAGCATCTTGTCCCCAAGCAATTTTCAGTACTTAGAAATCTGTGGGGTACAATGCTAAATGATGCTATAAGGAGTCAGTCAGTCACAAAAGGCCACACAAACGAGGGACGTTGAGGAGTGAGAATCCGGGATTGAGGACATGTTGGTGATGTCCAGGGACTGGGGAAAGGGAGGGGGAGGGAAATTAGTGGGTTTAAAATGTCAGCACTTTGCAGGACGAAGCGAGTTCTGGGGACGAGCTGCACAGCAATGTGCTGAGCTGCACCACCCCCCAAGTGGGTAGGACGGGAAATTGTATCACAATAAGAGAGAAAGGAATCTGCTAACGCTGAGCAATACATTTTCTAAACATGAAGCATCTGATCCTTGTTGCCGGGCTCACAGTGGCTCCTGTTTTATATTCATAGAAAATGCAGAAGCTGGCATCTCTGCCAATTTCACAGTTTCATCCTTTTCTCATTCCTGTCTGCGGCCTGAATTTTAAATAAGACATAGGCATTCACTTGCTGGCAACTGTGCAGCCTAGCCAAGGATGCTGAGTCCCAGGCATGTCCACTTCTGCCGTGTTCCCAGTGTCGACACTCACCACGCACCAGGTGATGCTGAGGCCAGGGACCCAAATCCTCTCTAGAAAAAAAAAAAATCCTGGTCTAGAGGGATGCCCTGTAGGAAGTAATCAGTCTCCAGAGACCAATCTCAAAACAACAACAGAGACACACCCTGACATAGCACAGCTGGAGCTTGGCCTCTGCTGACCCATCACCTACCATGGGCTTCCTCTCCGAGGGGTACCCTGGCTGGCAAGGTTGAGCTGAGGTATGTGTTGAGATCAGACCACCAGCTTCATCCCACAAGGCAATAAGCCCCAGCTGCTGGATTTCTTCTAGACAGACTTTCTGCAAAGCTGACCTCATATTTCCCAAAAAAAAAAAAAAAAAATCAATCATTTTCCTCCCATTTTGAGATGCAAACTGTAGTATCTCTGGGTGTTAACAACCCGGCCAGCACGTCCACCCCAGCAATGTGAGACCCTGACCTATCTCTCTGCTTCTGTGTTTAAGGTTCGAGTTCATGTTCAGAAGCACAAATTCACACGGAATAAAGTTCAGCTTAAAAACAAGCTATATTGGGAGTGCTCCCGGGCAAGGTTCACTGGTCTGGTACAGACAATGGGGCCAGGAATGTCGTGCCCGGGTAATGGAAGGTGTCATTTTTTACCAGGGGGCTGTAAAAGTGTGGTTTGGGTGGCAAAGGAATGTGCTATGAAGTGCTATAGGTTCTTTTCGACCCTGGTGAATCCATACGTCACTGCTCCACTGCTTGGCTGAGGAGGGGGCTGCATTCTGCAGGTACAGCCTTATCAGCCACCTTTCCCAGCCTCCTGCGTTATCCCTCACCCACTCCAGCTGAGCCTTACACTGTGGATATGAGGATCAGGAAGGGCAGAAAGGAAAGCCTTTCCCTCCTGTGGTGGTCACTAAAGGAAGAACACTGGCTAGCCAGCAAGATCCAGGTGAGCAAGAAGCTGGTAATAGAGGCAAAGAGGAGCGGGCAGAGCCTGAGTGCTGGGACCAGCAAGCTCCCACCATACAGGCAGCCCAGCCTCCCTGGGACACGGTAGGCAAAAACAGAGGACTCCCCTTGGTGACCACTGGCCTCAGTACTGCACCAAACATGCTGAACTCCCACTACTGTGCGTGGCTGTGTGCCAGGACTAGAGGCTGAGAGATGAGCTGGAAACTGTGCGTTCCCTGGGGAACAGATGCTGCATCAAGGCTGGAGGAACACACGCACTGTGCACCATGAGGATGCCCTAACAGGTGATGGGGGTGGGTGTCTAGGTTTGGTGCCCAGACTTTGGATGGCTTTACAGACTTGGGTATAATTCCCCCTGTTGGCTTGATCCACCATAACCAAGTCCTTGAACTTCCCTGAGCCTCCACATGCTCACCTATACAACGGGAGCCTTCTTGTACCTGCAGGTATCTCGTGATGGTTACAGACCACAAAGCAGGGAAAGTACTCATCGTAGAAATTGGCAGAATGAATGCACTGTGAAAGCCAGGTATGGGAATCCTAAACCATGTACTGCCTTGATCCATGTGCCATGAGTGTGCAGAGGAGGAAACGGAGGTCCTGAAGGGAGAGAAGGTGTTTGCAGCCTGGCAGAGGACATTCTCAGCCCAAATCCTGCATGAGATGCAGCCCATGCCCTGTCGCACAAGCTCAGGCTGGAGAAGACTGCAAGCCCCACACCCTCTGCACTGTGATTTGCCAAAGTCTGTGCCCTTCTGGAATAGCCACATGACCCGGGGGGCTTCCCTAAATCCCTGAAGGGGAGAAGACCCCTGTCACTCTCTTGTTTTGGACCCTTCTCCTTAAATGGGGTAAATCAGCCTTTAAGGACCTCCAGTTCTGACAGCCCACAGTTTCAAGAAGTGCATTCAAGGAGTCAAAAGCAGTGGCTATAAATGTCTGTGACCAGAAGTCTTCCCCAGGGATTCCTGCATGGGAGAAGACAGGTAGGGCCCAAGCAGGTAGGAACCATGTGTCATCCCATCCCGGTGCAGGCATCCCTAATTTACCAGATGTCTGGCCACTTTGTCACCTTGGCTGCTGCCCCTACTATGTGGACCAGGAGTCTGTGAAGTCTTGGAGTAGCCTGATGTTTCACCACCAGGACCAGCCCTGAGAAGGCTGGTGAACAGCATCCAGAATAACACCATGCATGGAACAGATGCTCCTGAACCACCCACTGCAGGTGACACAAGCTGGCAGCTGGACCAAGGAGGGAGCCTGGAAGCACCACCTATACTCTCCTTGTATTCTGCAAGGTGTTTATGGTATTGCCCTCCAAAGGATTAAGACAAAGGCATCATGTCATCCAAGCCAAACAGCCTCTCCAGAAATGTCTAACGGATGAAGGGCAGGGGGCAGGCAGGCAGGCAGGTGAGAAGGAGTCCCCCCAGCATTAACACTCCGCAATTCCAAAAAGCCAGATTCTAAGGCAATTTGAGTAGAATCGCAGTCACCCGTGGAAACATAAAGGGGAAAGCAGAAGGAATGGAGTTCAGATATGAAAAGACATGGGCGCTCCTCAGCCCAGACATGGTCAACTCCCCCCACACCCAGGTCCTAGGCTGTATGCCCCGTGTGAAGGCCTTGGTCATGGCCCGTAAAAGTCCTACTGCACAATAAGTAAGAGCTTCACAGGGGGAGGGGAGGTTTGCTGGTGTCAGTGGCCATGCTGTAAAGCTCCCTCATGTGACAAGTCAGAGCATTCCAGCCCAGAGACCGGAACACAATATTGCAGGGTTCTGCAGCATTCAGGAACAAAACAAAAATAGCTCCTGGTTAGAATGGAGCTGGGAGTAGGGCGACAGGAGAGGAAGCAGATTGCTAAGCACTTACTGAGTCAAGAACTTTGCCTTGGAAAGCTTAGCGCCAATGGCTGGCCAGGTGTATTTCTTCTTCATCAATCAAGCAGCTGTAGGAGTGACCCTGGAGGGTCCCAAGGGTCTGAGGATGAGGCAGGGAGGGGCGAGGCTTGCCTGCTGGTGGAAAGACCCTCTGAGAAGGCCTTGCTTTCTATGTCACATGTGCAGTGTCACTCCAGTGGGATTGTTAAAGATTTATTTTTATTATTTTTTTATTGGAAAGGTGGATATACAGAGAGGAGAGACAGAGAGGAAGATCTTCCGTCCGATGATTCACTCCCCAAGTGAGCGCAACGGGTCGATACTATGCCGATCCGAAGCCAGGAGCCTCTTCTGGGTCTCCCACGCGGATGCAGGTTCCCAAAGCTTTGGGCCGTCCTCGACTGCTTTCCCAGGCCACAGGCAGGGAGCTGGAAGGGAAGCGGGGCTGCCGGGATTAGAACCGGCGCCCATATGGGATCCCGGGCGTGCAAGGCGAGGACCTTTAACCACTTGCGCCACCGCGCCGGGCCCCACTCCAGTGGGATTGTGACTTGGGTGTTAGGTCCAAGCGAGCGGACTCTGTAAGCCAGCCTTCACTGCTGGCTCTGGCCCCTACACTAACCTCTGATCTTGGAGGTTCTGGATGGTAATTCTGGGCTGAATCCTCAGCATAAAACAAGAGAATCAAAAAAAAACCTGAATGGCATAGGCTGGATTCCAGGATCCCATCTCTCTTTCTATCCTATTCTCCTTTGGACCTTTCTTTAACTACATCAAGGCTACTGCAGCATGAGTTCAATCAGATACTAAAAGGTAGCAGAAATGTGCTTTATTCACTGTCAAGTCCCAGCTCCCACCCACATCGGATTGGATTGGGGGCATGGTGGGCCCAGCCACAGGCTCCCCAGGAGGGAGCAGGGGGAGGGAGACCCAGGAGGCTCCCTCTTATACACAGGACTTCCTCTGCCCAGACTCCCACCCCCTGCCTCCCTGCCCCAGGGTCCACACACAAGGTAAAACCCCACGGAGGGAGCAACTGTAACAGCCGGGCACTGGGTCCCCAGCCCTGTGTCGAGGCAGCCCGACCAGGCCCCAGTCAGCAGCAGCTGCAGGTGCCCGTATGCACACGGAGGATGCCGCGACTGTGCAGGTGCAAGAAGTTGAAGATCTCAGAGGGCATGGCATGGAAGCCAGGCCGGGGCTTGACGTTGTCGTAGTAGTGGTGGGTGATGTACAGGCCTGAGGGGTTCATGGGGAAGGCCCAGAAGCCGAACAGGTGCACCTCCTCACAGAGCTCTAGCGCCGCGGTGGCCAGGATGAGGCCCGTGCTGATGCGCTTAGCACGCACGCCCAGGCTGAGCCAGTAGCGCGACACGTTGAGCAGGTACTGTGGATGGAAGTAGTAGACGGCCTGTGGCGACTCGAAGTCATCCAGCACGTACTTGACGCGGATGGACACGTCGGTGTTGCGTGTGTTGTAGAAGGCGGGCAGAAGCACCGACGCGTTCTCGTATACCTGCAGCACGCGGTAGAAGGGCCGCCGCCACTTCTCCAGCTTGTGGAACCTGCGCGAGCAGGACAGTGAGAGCGGCAGCTGCGCCTCTCAGGCACTGGGAGAGCTGAGCAGTGCTGGGCAGGCAAGGGAGGTGGCAGTCGGACCGAAGCAGAGCAACTATCCAGGCCCCGGTGGATGCAGTGGGGAAGTGATTAAGGCTGGAACGCTCACCTGAGCGTTCACATCTCAGCCTTGTACTGTCTCCCCCCAAACAGCCCCCATAATGCACCCCACATCCTCCCCTGTAGCCTCTTGGGGTGTCTCACCTGTTTGTGCACCTTACACAGCTCTCACTCCAGGGCTTTCCCTTGCCTCTGCTTCTCCTATCCCCCAGCTGAATAGCCCCCACGACCAATCCCTCCTCTGATCTGGAGGCTTGCCTAGAGCCAGGTTTTCAACACCGGAGACAGCCCCACCTCCCCCTGCTGTCCCACCGAACTTTCCAGACAGATCCCCAAGAGGGGAGCCAGGTCGAAGAACTTGCAGGAGGCTTTGCCCCCGTGCCTCCTTATGGGCGTAGCCAGGCAAGGAGTTGCCAGCCCTGGCCATCCACTAAAATCACACACTGGAATGCTCTCTGACCTACATGCAGGTGGCTTGAGCCTGCAATGTCTGAGAGAAAAGTGATGCAGCCTTGTAGGTAATGTTAACTGTCCCTGGAAGTTCATTTTACAAGGGGAAAGAAACAGGGGAGTATTATCTTCTATTGAAGCCAATATAAAAAAGCCATCATTTTAAATGCAATATATATGTTGCATATAAAATGCTATTTATATCTTTTATATATATAAAAGAATGGGAAATGTCCCATCCTTTCTTGTCCTAGCAGATCTATATATATTACATATAAAATGATAGCATTTTATATGTTTATATATATATATATAAAAGAATGGGAAACATCCTAACCTTTTTTTATCATGGCAAGTCTTTGCAGCTTAGAGTGGGTTTGACACTGTCTCGACCCAGCCCTGCTCCTTTCCATGCCCAGGAGCCCCATGTGACTGTTGGACAGGGCAGCTTAATGAAAAAGGACACTGACCTCTCTGTGATGATGCTAGGGTTCACGGTCACCACATCTGTCTTCACCCCCACATCCATGGTGTACTTCTCTGAGATAGGGGGCAGGTTGCACCTGCAGAAGAGACAAGACAGTTGGAGGCAGGGGTCCTCATGTGGATCAGGCAGGGCATGGAGGGCAGACTGGAGTCAGGCACGCAGTCAGACAGGCTCTCTGGCTGAGCAACAGGTCCTTCTGCCCTGTGCCAGGCATGGAAGAGCAACCCAGCCCAGTCCTGGCTCTCACTGAAGCTCTAGTCCCAGGGGACAGAGACAGCACTAGTGAAAACATGAGGTCACAGGCAGCAGCAGCCCCAGAGCCTGGAAGATGAAACCATGGCTCTGAGAGAACAGAGGGCAGGGCAGCATTGGCCCTGTATCTGGTAGACAGGATGACTTCCCAGAGGAAGCAACACTTGAGCTGAGGTCGGGAGAAGGAGATAAGAGTCCACTGGCAGGTCAACTTGTGACACAGTGGGTAAAGCCACTGCCTACAATGGTAGCATCTCTTGAGCCCCAGCTGCTCTACTTTCTGTCCAACTCCCTGCTTGTGGCATTGGAAAGCAGTTGAGGATGATTCAAGTCCTTGCACCCAGGTGGGAGACCTTCCCACCCAGTGATTTCCTAGCTCCTTGTTTTGCCTAAACCAGTCCTAGCTATTGCAGCCATTTGGGGAGTGAATCAGTGGATGAAAGTATTCTTCTTCTTTCTGTCTATCTTAACTTTCAAATAAATAAAATAATTTTTAGAAGCCCAATAGTGGAAGGGCTGTGTAAATATGAGGTGTAAACAGGGACAAATCTAAGAAATGCAATAGTAACTTAAGGATGCAACAGGCACAAGAGCATTTGTAGGAATCTCCTGCAATAGGGAGAGGGGTGGCCTCCAAAGTTGTGCACATCTGAGCTCCTGCCTAGGAATACATTCCTTTAGGTGACAGAAGGAACTTGACATTGGTTCTATTGTCTAATCTTCCACCTCCAAGTTCCAGGATCCCATATGGGCACAGATTCATGTCCCCACTGCTCCACTTCCCATCCAGCAATCTGTTTGAGGCCTGAGAAGATGGCAGAGGTTGGTACAGGACCTTGGGACCCTGCTACCATATAGGAGACCTGGAAGAAGTTCCTGGATCCTAGCATTGAATTGGCTCAGCTCCAACTGTTTTAGGCATTTGGGAAGTGAATCACTTTGTGGAAGATCTTTCCCTCTGTCTCTCCTCTCTGTTGACCTGCCTTTCCAATAAAAATAAATAAATCTTGGAAAAAAAAAAAGGAACTCAATGGCTGCAGTTACATTAAGGAGGTTAAGGTTAACAACACCCTGGGCAGTCTGCCAGGTCCAGGGTGTTCACAAGAGCCTTAAAGGGCTGGAGAATTGGACTCTTAGATGCCCTGCTGCTCTGGGGGAAGGGGCCACAAGCCTAGGGATACAGCCACTTCCAAGCTGCAAAAGGGACCCTTCTTCCCTCTAACCCCACTGAGTCTGTTGAGAAGAGTGCAGCTCCATCTGCACCCTGATGCAGATCTGGGCAGACTTTGACTGCCAGGGTGGTGAGATTACACTCTTCAGTTGGCTCTAAGGCATCAATGTGATGATCATTTTGTTATGGCAACAACAGGCTGCTAATACAGCCTCCCAACAAGAAAATTTTAATCAGTTGTTTGGGGATCCATCTACACGTAATAAAATCACTTTTGAAGTTTTTAAACATTTTTAAAAATTTTTTATTGGAAATGCAGATTTACAGAGAGAAGGAGAAACAGAAAGATCTTCCATCTGCTGATCACGCCATAAATGGTTGCAACGGCCACAGCTGAATTGAACTGAAACTGGGAGCCAAGAGCTTCCTCTGGGTCTCCACTTGGGTGCAGGTTCTCAAGGCTTTGGGACATCCTCCACTGCTTTCCCAGGCCCCAAGCAGAGAACTGGGTGAGAAGTGGAGCAGCCAGGACATGAATAGGCATAAAAAAGGAACCAGACATTTACAAGGGGAGGATTAGCCAATTGAGCTATTGCTCAGGGCCCAATAAAACCATTTTTTTAATCAATAGAGAATGAACAATACATTTCCCCTTCAGGGGGAAGAGGTAGCATGGGAGTGGAGCACACCTTCATCACAGCGGCTCATTGCACACACTCAGCTTCTTAGACTAAGTGACTGGTACACAGCTCCTCGTTGTACTGCATTGCTTCATGCTGTGGATATGGTACAAGTCTCTTCTGCCTCAAGCACTGATTAAAGCATATTGCAGAATAAACTCTGAAAATGAGAGTTTAGCGCTTTGCAATGGCGGGCTTGCAGAGAGCCTTGGGGATAGTTGCAGCAGGGATGTGCAGGGACCTGGGGGTTCAAGTCCAGACAGGCAGAGTGAGCCTGGGGATTTCCCCACATGCTTGTTCCTGGGTGGAGTGTGGAGAGGGGAGAGGAAAACCCTGGGTTGGCATACTGGCCTGGTGTGCTGGTGGACTGGGCTTGGGAACTTTGAATAGGCCTGGATCTTGGGTGTGTGGAGGGGTGAGGTCCCAGGCCAGCACACATGGCAGGAGCTTGGGACCCTAGTGGTCAGGCAGAGCTACAGGTCAGCATATCATCCCACCAGAAGACTGGGCTTAGGAGGGCTGGGCTGGGTAACCCATGTGCACCCTGGCACAAGGACTATGGATTGATCAGGAAAAGGGGTAAGATGTTTGGGAGGGACGACCGCTAAGGGAGTTAAGTGGCCAGTGAGGAATGAGTTCTGAGGGATTTCCATTGACAAGACCACTGTACATGCAAGTAAGTACAGAAGCTATGACTGAGTGATCTGGAGAGTGGAAGCTGGAAGACCTTTATGGAACAAACCCAAGAATAGGGTATGGGGCAAGCTGGGCTGCAACATCCACCAACTCATACAAAGGCCAGGATGGAGGGTGCAGACTATGCTAGGTAAAGGCCTAGCATGCACCAGCACATGTGAGATCTAGGTGTGGGAGTGGACTATTGGGTGAGCTTGGAAAACTCTCCTGGTGGGATATAGCTCCCACTGGTGAGCATGTGATTCAGGCCTGGGTATTGGTCAGGCCGGACAAGTTAGCTCCCTCGTCAGCAAGTATGTGGGTTGGTTCTGAAGGGGGGTGGACTTGGCAGGACTAGACAAACCTTAGCCCACTGGTATGTGCAGGAGCCAGGCTGGAGTGTGGGTCATGCCAGGTTAAACTATTACAGATACTGGTTTGCATAAGCCAGGGATAGGAGCAGACTGGGCAGGGCTAGGCTGCAGCCTCTGCTACAAGAGTTGGGACTGGGGGGTGGGTCAGGATAGGCCAGGCTAAAGCATCCAATAGCAAAGGCCAAGACAGGGTCAGAGCAACCACTGATATGCAACATTTGTGGCTGGGAACAGACCTGAATGGGGAAATAAGGGTGATGCCATGGCTGGGTCGCAGCTCCCACTGGTGAGCAAGAGAGCCAGAATGGGGACAGCAATCTGGACTGGATATGACGTCTCCCTTGGCATATGTGTAGACTGGCTCTGGGATGTGCAGGACTGAGCTAGACTCCAACACCCACTGGTGCTCATGAGAGCCGGGGGAGGGGGGTGGGGTATAAGACAGGCTGGGCTGGGTCTTGGCACCCACTGAATCACATGAGAGCTGTGTTTGGCGTGGACCAGATGTAGCTGGGCTATAACACGCAACAGTAAGAACCAGAATGGGTATGTGCCAGTCAGGCAAAGTCACTGTTCCTGCCAGGACAGAAGGTGGACTAAGTCAGTCTGGACCAAGGACCAACCAGTGGGTGCAAGATCTGCCACTGGAAGGAAAGCTGACAGAAGAGCTTGGGGAGCTCCTTTGTCAGGACACAGTCCCTGCAGGTGAGTACAAGAAACAAGGCTAGAAACAGCCCAGACCAGGCCAGATTATGGTATCCACTGGCATACGTGAGAGTCAAGTCTAGGGGTGGGCCTGGCTGGACCAGTTCATAACACCCACTTGCAGATCTGAGAATCAGGACAGGGTTCAGGACAGGCTGGGTCAGGCCAAAACACCAACAAGTTCACATTAAGACTGGGATTGGGGGCTGACTGGGATTGTTAGGTTGTAGCACCCACCAGCATTGGCTGGACTTGGGGGCAGACTGGGCTGAGCCAGGCTGCAGCATCCACTGTCAAATGCTGAGGTGAGGCAGGCCATGTCAGACTAGGCTACAGCACTCACCAGCACATGTGAGACCTGGGAGTAGGGGAATGGTGTGCAAGCCCAGTAAGGGGACTGCAAAGGGCTCTCCCACTCACAATAGTGAGTGTGATAACTGGAAAAGGGGCCAAGTAGGCTGGGTAGGGCTACAAAGCCTGTTAGCCTACATGTGAGCTGGGTTAGAGGGGAAAGCCAGGCTGGACTAAATGGCTAACTGACTGTATCTATTGATACATGCATATGTCAGAGTAAGTGGGGCTGGTCAGATTTTTGCTGCAGCATCAACTGGCAAGTGTTGGGACCTGGGACAAGCCCTGTCTAGCTAGACTGCAGAACCACCTGGAAAGTGCAAGTTCCAGGAATGAGAATGGGCCCAGTAGGGAAACTATGAGCACCCTTCTGATGGGCTACAGCTCCCACTGGTGAACATGAGAACTAAGGCTGGGGGAGAGCGTAGTAAGACAGCTGGTGGCACCTGCCAGCATGAATGTGGGCTGGATGGTTGGGTCGGTTGGGTTGAGCTAAGTTTCAACATCCATTGATGTATACGAGAGCTGAATGGGATGTAGGACAAACTGGACCAATCTGCTGCACATACTGGTAAACATAGGACCAGGGCTGGGAGTGGATCTGGTGGGGGTTATTGAGAGTCATTTTGACTAGGTTTCAGCTCCTGCTGGTGTACGTGAGAACCAAGTGTGTGGTGGGCTGGGTTGGGCTGCACTGCAGCATCCATTGGTTTATGTAACAGATGAGGCTAGAGGCAGAACTGACCCAACAATTGCAACTACCTATATGTAGGCTGATGTGGGTGACTGATAGAGTCAGACCCTGTACTGGCAAGCACACACAAGAATCAGGCCAGATCACCTCAGACCAGGTCTCTTTGGGGATCCTTCCAACTGAACTGCTGAACTTTGAACTCCAACCATGGGGAGAATTGCAGGATCAGTGGTCTGACTGTGAGTGTATGTGTCGGAACTGGGCCTCCTCAGTGACTAAGACAGAGCAGTGGGTACCATGCCCAGATGCACATGAAGGATATGACAGCCCATTGGAGCCTACAGAGGACATCTGGTACCATAGCAAAGGAAGAATGACAGCACAAATTTAGTCAATTACACCAGTCAAGTGATGACAGCAAATATCTGGGCAAATGGAGACTCTGGGATAGTCTATGTCAGCCAACGGACCTTGGAAGTATTTCCTGATCCTTGGATCAGCAAGATCGACAGCATTTTAGGACTATCAAAACCACTTAAGCAGAACGCTCAAAGCATGCTCCACATTGGAGACACTGGGATGATTTCGGGTGACCATTCCCCATCCCTGGGTACTGAGGTGATTGGGAGATTGGGTGTAGCTCCTCCCCTTATCACCCCCTTTCCCCCAGAAACAAGAAAAAGAGAATTAGGAAACAATGGTCTCGCCCACTTTCCCCTAACCCTTGACTCTTTCCACCCTAAGCAACTATGTAAACATCACTTAAAAAAATACTAATAAAAAAAAAAGAGAGAGAGAGAGAGAAAAGATTATAATTAGGCAACTGTGGAGGCATTGTGCCAAGGCCCTGCAGCAGATGCAATCAAGAAACATGGAGGAGTGGCTGAAGCCATCCTAGGATCTAGTTGACCAGATCCCATGAAGGCACAGTGCTACAATGGAGAGCAGAGAGGCAAGAAGAGGTCAGATTACATGGCACTATGGACCAGGTAAAGGGTGTGGCTCTCTGAGGCTGTCCAAGCCTGCAAAAGTTCTGGCTGGAAACCACACTTTCAAGTGGGTGACACAGGGATTGCCCAGCCATTTCCTAATTGTTTGAGGGACCACCAATGAGGAATGTCTTTGCTGCAGGTTACTATCCATACATAGAGGGATCATGGAACCCTTAAGAACCCAAAACACTTCCTCAAATCTCAGTGTGTCTCTCTCTTTTCAGGAGGCACCCATATCCCAGATTGCTGGGGTCCATGCAGTAGGTATGGATGGCACGAAGGTGTGAAAAGAACAGCTCCCCTGCTTGGCAGGGCCCAGGGGAGCTTCCAGCTGTTTGGCAGGGCCCGGCGGATTTCTCTCTGACTACCTTGATGCTGTTTCACCCCCTGATTGCATGGACACTCAAGCACCCCACTAAGAATTCTGTAATCTATTGAGGCATTGTTGTTTATCCCTGTGAGACTGTTTTTGCAACCGATGTGAGCTTGAGAGTTAATGTCTCTGATAATGTCTTGGGAGTGGGCCTTTGACAATTTACACACAGGAGCACAATTAAGCCCATGCCATTTTTGGACACTTTATTGGGTACTTAACCATTGCCTCAGAATTTGACCCAGACAAGTAGCACTCCTTCTGGGAAGTGGCTTGAAAATTTCCTAAATATTAATGCAAGTGATGGGAGTGAGAGCTGAAGCTGCTATGGCAATAAATATAGTTATTGTTATCTCAAAGGCTAGCCTGTCTTTGCAATTTTTTGGAGCATAGACAATGTAACTGTTTTAGCTGCTTTTATACTTTTTAGCTAGAGGAATTAAGGATGCTTTTATTAAGGAAAAATGCTTTTAACTATTGTTTCATTGTTTATGGGGTTGTAGAGCCTATAGTTGTAGGGGGATTTAACATTTGAAACTTTTGTTTTAAATTTTACGTTTTTCCACTTGTAACCTATTTTCCCATTAAATAATGGGTAAATTGTAGAAATAGAAATGTGGTAGGAATGTATTACTGATTAGCAGGTAATCGCATGTACCTTGGCCTTGGAGTCCTGGCCGTCACTCCATGGCTACTGTTGAAGAATGAATAATGGCTTGGTTTGAAGAATATGAATACAGTATTTTGCAGAATTATCTTTAGGGGCACCTGCTTAACCCTGAAGTGCAGACAGAATGACCAAATGTCTATACATGCCCCCTTACTCTTGAAGTAAAAATAGAACAATTAGTTGTTTGTGTAGAAGCTTGTGAGGTGTCTGAGTAAATAAAAAGGACAGCTTTTTCTTGAGCTGTTGCGAGAGCGCACCAAGTGGCAGTGTTTGTGTCTTTCTTTATCGCCGACTCCACACACCCTTTCTGAGCTCCAAACTCAGCTGGAGCTGGACTCCGGCACCAGATCCTTCCTGGAAGGTGATTTTAGCTTCTTTCTTCTTTTCACATTAATTTGTTCACTTTGCAGATAAAAGTTCTCTGCAACTGACTCTGAGATTTTTACTTCCATACTAAGCTGAAAAAATAATCTACCAAGCTTTGCTGGTTATATCTACATCCATAGGTGTAAGGAATACTTCCACAGAAGAACCCTCTAGAACAAGACCAGGACTACAGCCTTACTCATATCCTCACCGCTCCCCTGCCTCTCAGCCCAGCCTGGAAGGCAGGCTTTCCTATTCCTGTTAGAATGGGCATGTGTCTACTGGGTACTTGTGACATGCCAGGACCTTTCATAGGGTGACATGAGCCATCAATGACCTCGGGGTCAGATGCCAGCTCCTGGTGCTGGGAATGAGAAAGCAGGCATTTAGGGACGTCAGAGTCTTACTGCTGCTGAATGGCTGAGGCAAGTCCAGAGCAAGTCCAGGGCACTTCCCTGATCAATGCTGTCCCCTACAGAAGATACCCAGAACATGCTGGAGACTGGCACACACAGCAGGCACGCAGCAAGGTTGCTACTTCATTGCAGTGACGACGATGATGACGATAACGATGATGATGGCAACGCCAGCAATGGAATGCCAAGAACTCTGAGCCCTAACAGACCACAGGGAATGGGCAAGAAACCCTCTCCATCCCCTTCTGGAGAAAGTTCACTCTCTGGTGGTCTAGTTAGTCAGACCATGCGGTGTAGTAGGAAGGACCCAAGGCCAGAACTGTTCCCCCTATTCTCACCATTTGATCCTAGCCCCTAGTGTGGGGCTACACTCTGTACAGCAGAGGGCAAGGTCTCTCACTCACATCACCCACAGCAAGTGATGTTACTGTTGAGCCTGGAGCAGTGTCTCCAGGGTGTCCCCATTCTGCAGACAGAAGGTTGGAGGTCCAGGGCCAGGGCCCCAGAATGTGCTGGGGCTGTCTTTATTTCAGGATCTCCACACACATCAGACCACCTCAGCACAAGCATCCCTGCCACTGGCTCTGTGTGCACCAATGACTGGATCAGGACCCATGAGATGTCCCTGAAGATCTTTCAGTCCTTGGCTCATAGTTTTAATCCACCCAGACTCAAGACTGAAGCGAGGAGCTCCAAATACAGCAGAGAGAAAGAAGTGCAAGGTCTGGTCTGCAGACTAATTAAAGCCAGGAGGGAATCAATATCAGTCTTCCATGAGGTTGCCTTGGTGGCACCTAGAGCTTCCGGAACAGCTGGGGGTGTGAAGGGAAGCATCACTTGAAGGGTAGCCCAGGGGACAGCACCTAGGGACAGGGCCCAGGGCAGGTGTGCTATGGGAGTGGGGGCTGCAGGTGCACCTGGGGATGGTGGCATTACCGGAAGACAAAGTCCGCACTGTTGATCTCCCTGCCGCAGCGGCTGTTCTTCAGGATGCCTCCATTGCCCACCACTGCACACTTCTTAAATTGGGATCGGTAGTAAGGCATGTCCTGGGGGAGGAAAGGGTGCATACAGCAGCATCAGTGCCAAGTCCTGCCTACATTGTCAGCTCCCACCTCTGCAGCCTCACCTACCTCTGCTGCCACAGGATTCCGCCACACAGCCTGGCAGGCAAAGTAGGAACCAAGCGGTTTTTCCACCTCTCAGAGGCAAAGAGAACTCAAGATACATAAGCATGTTAGCCCCACAGTTTCCTCCTTCACGGATATCCAGGAACAGGCCAGCTGTGTTTTCAGGGACCTGGCCTGTACCCTAAGCTTCCAGTGAAGATACACTGAGATTCCTTCATTGATTGCACTGTAATCTCCCAATCTAAATGAGCCACTATGTCCACCCGGGAGACTGTCACTCAAGGTCTGTCTTCCCTGGAGAGGCCAAGCCAAGAGAATCAGGAGCATCTGATGGCTGGTGAAGAAAACACTCTGCTTGACTGTTACCAGGAAGAAGAAGAAAAAGTCATCACTGGGGAAGATTAGCAGATGCTCTGATGTTTCCCAAGCTTCAGTAAACCAAGCAGCACCCAGAACGTTTTCTGAAAATACAGTGTTCCTTTGGTATCTAAGGCGGGGGAGGGGTTGGTTCCAGCACCTTCCATGGGCACCAAATTCTGCAGATATTCAAACCCATTGCATAACACAGTGCAATGTTTTCTTAGCACCTATGCACAACCTCCTCATAAACCAATCTATACATCATCTGCAGTTTACTTATAACACCTTACACAGTATAAATGCTGTGGAAATAGTTGTTAGACTGAAGTGCCTAGACAATAATTGTGAAGGGGAAAAATATCTGCACGTGTTCAGTGCAGACACGATTATTATTTTTTTTTAACATTCTTGATCTGCAATTGGCAAGATCCAAGGATGCTATAGAAATCTCTGGGCTGCTGCCCAGAACCACAGAATCTATCTCCAAGATGGAGATAAAAGATTGGGAAGCTGATTTTTTTAAGCAACCCAAAAACCAATTTGTCTTTCAGGAAGTTAGGGAAATGATGTCTTCCTATGTCTTAAATTCTAATTCAGGGACTAATAAACTCTAACCCAAGTGCCACATCTGGCCTGCCACCTGTTTCTGTCTGACCCACAAGCTAAGAAGAGAATTTAAATTTTTAAATAACTGGAAGCAACCCAAGGAAGACTGTTGGGTGACATGTGAAAAATCCTATAAGATGGAGAAGGCAGAGTCTACCAAGAACTCAAGCGTGACTGGGACACTGCCACTCTGCTTTGTAGACTTGTGTCAGTGGCACCTGTGAGCTGAAACAGAGGTTTGTAGTGGTGACAGAGATAGCAGGTGCTTGTAAGACACTTGCTATCCCTGCTTCCTGGAGAGTATTGGGCCTCCCAACAGTCTATACCTTGAACCTGCTGGCCAAGGTCAGGCTATTTCACCCACCAGTGCCCCCTGCATCAGAAGCCAGGTCAGCTGTCGTCACCAACTTCCTGTTCCAGGTCTTGTCAGCCCCACCTTGTAAAGGTGGCTCCATATCATCCTTTCCCAGCACAGTGATATGGGGAACACAGGTGAGCCCTCTCATTACCCCTAGAACATGGCCAGAGTGAAATGCAGGTGGCCATGGGGCTTTGCTTCATTCACACCCCTTCTAGAAGCAGAGAGGGAGTGCCCCAGCCCTTGGATTTCATCCAGAAAGCTGTCCACACCTTTCCCTGACATGTCAGCACATTGGGCCCACTATACACATGGCCTGGGGCACACACCAGAACTTCCTGCTCCCCACAGACCACACCTTGCCCACTGTCAGCTGAGTCTGCAGCTCCAGGCCCAATCCCTCTCTGTCCAAGTCTGGAGCAGTGGATCTGCAGCTGCAGTCAGTGCACAAGAGGGCAGCCACCTGAGCTGTGGGGATCTGAACAGTTCAAATACATATGCCTTCCTCTGTGGTCTTCCATGGTCAGGAAGTCACCAGGCTATCCCTAACTAGCCCACCTCCAGACTTCTTGAATGAGACAGGAACAAAATGTCCATTCAGTCCCAATCCAAGCCCCAGTGCTAGACAAGAAAACTGAGGCTCTGAAAGGCAAGATGACCAGTCAAAGTTATCCATGCCAAGCCCAGTCCCTCAACGTCTGAACTGCACTGGGCCATGCCCTCTGGCACATACTCACTCCTGGTGAAGATGCCTCTGCTCTTAGGCCACACACACTTCTATTCCTTCTCCCAGATTTTAGCACGCCCTTATGTAAGCAATGCAATGACCAGAATTTTATAACCATTTCTTTCTTTATAACCATTTTTAACAGTCAGTGGGCATTCATTATGTCCAGATAGAACCCCACCCAGAAAGTCCAGAGTAGTCAACTGGGCCCAAAACAACTGGCCAACCAGAACCAAGACAACTGGGTCCATGGATAGAATGAAGTCTGTGCAAGGTCATGGAAAGCCATGTCTGGGTGGGATCCCCCACTCCACTTGGATCCCTGTTCCACTAACAGCACCTTGGGAAACATCCGGAAGATCTCCTGGTTGATGTGGTAGATGCCGCTGGTGTCCACCTCGTACTTGAGCTTCGTCCCCAGGGGAGTGTTCTTCTGGGTGGTGAAGAGGAAGGCGGGGGCATTGCAGCACCTGGACAGCGTGGACCTGCCAGGCAAGGAGAGATGGTGACACAGGGCCAGGTTCTCGCCACACAGGGTTCCTGGGGCTGAGGCCTCCACCATTACTCATTCCCAGGTCACATCCTCCTGGTACCTGTGCTCCTGCTGTCCCAAGCCTGGGCCTTTGAGCCCACGTTGTCACTGCCCTTTCAAGGCCCAAGCCAAGCTTCTCTACATGGGGTTCTAGCTAATCCCATCCCACTGACCACGCTAGCCTTGAAGGCCAGAGCATAGACAGGGGAGCCACACACAACATTGCCTGTCAACCTCCTCTCCCAATCACCACCCTCTTGAAGGTAGAACAAAATCTTACTAAAGGCTAGTCCCCTAAGCCTGAGACAACTTGCACCTGCCCATTGTGGCATTAGCCAGGCTTTTCCATCAGTCCTTCTGAATCTGCAAGGATGCTGCACTTCCCAGACACCCACACTCTGCTGCCCCATTTAGCCGGCCCCAGCAGGACACCCACCCCCTCCGCAGTGGAGGAAGGGAGGCAGGACTGTTCCTTGGGTTCCTGGTCCCTACAACAAACTCAGACAAGGTGTACACCTTGACTGATGGAGTCCCAGGATCAGGACATACAACACTGGCCACAGAAACGAGCACACCTGGGCATTTAGAACCTGACCTGGGAAGAGGAGGGGTCAGAAACTAGACCCAGGGCTGGATACAGCTTCTGGAGGAATTTTCCAGAGGCTCATTATTTCCTCTCTAAGAACCCCTGTGGTGCAGCTGTGTCCTTAAAGCACACACATGTAAGTGACAGAGGGGTTGAAGCTCAGATGAAGACTTAAAAAAAAAAAACCCACAAAAACCCCTGAGAGGGAGGCTGGGGTTGGTGAGGCAGGCCTGAGAGCCTGTGGCCAGAGCAGCTGGGCCTTTGGCTCCACTTTGCAGATAGTGTCCCAGCCAGTAGCAACTGCAGGTTCCTGGGTCTGCCAGCAAACAGATATGTGTGGGGATTAGATCCTACTCACCTCTTGCTCCCCTCACTTGGGGAACCCAGAACCCTGCACCTTGGTCGCTGGCAGCTTGGATCTAACCAAGGTCACCTTAGCACCCCCTCCCATCAGAAGGCTTATAGGCCCATGGAGATCCACAGCATTCAAAAACAACAGCAGCGGAGCAACAGGCCAATGACATCTGGCTGCCTCTCCTGCTTCCCCACTGGCCCTCCCACCTAAGCTCCTTCAGTGTCAAGGGCTCCTGGAGGTAGGGACCTCAGCCACATCAGAAGATGGACAGCAACTTTGTGGAAAGCTACCCCAGGGCTAGGATGGAGACTTGGATCACCATCCCGATGGTGTCAGGAGGCCTGGATTCTGGCTTCTGCTCTACCCAACCACCCTCCCCCTCCCTCACCCCACCTGATAGTTGGGATGCTCCAGAAAGCCCCCTCACTCTTCTGGATCTCAATTTATTCATCTGTAGAATGGCTCTCCTACCTCAGACCCTCTGTGACTCTCTTGCTTGTCAAAGCCAGGAAGGTTATGTGAGTTGTTCCTTTTGACTTCATCTCACCTTGCAGGCTTGCTGCAGGGCCCAGCTGGCCACAGTGAGTGATTTTTCTTGCAGCAGGGTTAGAGTTTCAGTGTGACTGAAGCTTTCCAGAGGGGAGGCCAGGGGCCTGGCAAGGTAGGGGCCCTAGGGGAGCATCTGGCCCTTTTAACTTTGCTGGTCCAGAAACTGAAACCTCACCCAAGAACCTCCACATGGAGGGACTCACACTAACCCAGCTCTCTAGCAACTGGTCTATACACCAGCATGCCACTGTGAGGTGGCAAGATCCTGCTCCTGGCAGGGGAAAGTTCCACACCCACCCCTGACTCCAGTACAGCACCAGGGCCCTGCCAACCATATCATGCCATGAGTTTGAAACAAGAGCAAAGGAAGACAACCTACTTGCCTTGAACTTTTTTTTCTGTTTAGAGCCTGGCAGGGTCTGACAGCTTCTCCTTCTCCCAGGGCTCTGCCCACTTAGGTGTGGCTGTGTGATCCCTTCCACTGGCTCCCACACCTGTCTCGGCTCTCATGCTCTTGTTTCATTATTTCCTTGGACAAGCTAAGCCCACTGAAGAGACTTCTGTCCCATGCTCAGCCTGGACAGGCCCTACCCTCATGCATCTCACTGAGTGGGCCTGGATCATCCACAGCCATTTGTCTCGCAAGGCACACTTCTAAAGGCCAGACCTGTTGTGGCACAGGTCTTGGTTCCTGCTGCACACTCTCCCAGCCTGTTGCTCAAGTTCACATTCTACTGGATGGTTGCTAAATCTGCAAATGAGTGGCAAGCCTGGGCTTCCCCAGTCTCACTGATGCCTGTAGTACCTGTTTGCCAGGGGGGTGTCCCCACTTTATATAAACATTCACATTTTCTAAACAGGTGCCACCTAAAACTACTGCTTCTTCCAGGTCCAGCCCAGGACCACATAAAACTCAAACCAGATGCCTTCTAAGCAGAAAATGAGATACTTGGGAACATGCCTGGTTTACAACCTCCCCTGGAAGATTCCTGCATTCTGACAGGCACCTTTAACCTTGGACCTGTGCTGTCGAAAATCCAGTTTGGACACAAGTGGCAGACGCCAAATTTCCAAGTTCAACTGCATAAAAATGGCACTCGGAGCTCAGGAGTAATCTGTGACCATCTCCTGCCTGCCTGATTCCCTCAGCAGTTCATCTGTGCATTTCAATCAGAGGTCCTAGTACCTGGCCTAGAGGAACAGAGAGGACCACAGAGGCCAAGGAGAGCTGCTAGGAGGCCCGTGACAGGGCTGTGTAGGGGGCCCTTAAGGAGAGGTTGTGGAGGGCAGCAGCTAGCAGGTAAGAGTCCAACTCCCCACTGTGTGGGGACCCAGCACCTCCCACCAGCCACATTCTCAGGCTCGGCCAAGTTCCAGCTGTGCTCGGCAGGGCAGCGGAGACCTAGGTGACAGAGACAGGAGCAGCACATGGGGAGAAGGGGGCACAAGTACTTGAACTGGTTGGCTTCTGAGATGTTCATGGCCCACTTGCACATCTGCAAACTCTTCCACCTGTCGAATAGCTCCGACTGCTTCACCCTGTGGGAGTGGAAAATAGACAGACTTGAAAAGGCCAGCCTGGACCAAGCGTCAGCACCTCCTTGCTTTTTGTTTTGTTTTGTTTTGTTTTGTTTGTTTTCCTTTAAAGATGTAATTTTTTTTAAAGAATTTGTTTGAAAGGCAGAATGACAGAAAAAGGAGAGACAGAAAAGGATCTAGTGGGGCTGGCACCCTAGCATAGTCAACTAAGCTTCTGCCTGTGGCATCAATATCCATATGGGCACTAGTTCGAGTTTTAGCTGCTCCATTTCTGATTCAGCTCCCTGCTTATTATGGACTTGGATAACAGATAAGAATGGTTCAAATCTTTGGGCCTCTGCACCAATGTAGGATCTGGAGGAAGGTCCTGGCTTCTGCCCTTAGATCAGTTCGGCTCTGTCCATTATGGCCATTTGGGGAGTGAACCAGCAGATGGAAGATCTCTCTCTCTCTTGCACACACACACACACACACACACACACACACACACACATATTCTCTCTCTCTTTTGCTCTGTCTCTCTCTGTAACTTTCACATAATTATTTTTTTTAATCTTAAAGAAAAGAGATACTCCATTCTCCATTTCCCTTACTAACTGGCCACAGCAGCCAGGGCTGGGCCAGGCCACACACTCAGGTCAACCGGTGCTGTTTTCCCAAGTGCATTATCTGGGAGCTAGATCAGGAGCTGGGATGCAAACCAACACTGTGATATGGGATGCAGGTGTCACAGGTGGTAGCTAAACCTGATACACTTTGTGGTGACCCCAAGGAATCACCCTTTCCTGAAATGTTTCAATCCTGCTCCCCTAAAGGCCAAATTGTGGTCTGGACCTTTGCATTAATTGAGTTTTCCTATTTCTGGGTTCCCGATGTTCCAACACACATAGCCTTGCTATCTCCTGGAGAGCAATAGGCCTGCCTTCCAGCACACCTTTCACAGACAAATATCCTGTCCACAGTCCTTGCCCTCACCCCCTCTTCCTGGGAGCCACTGTCCCCTGCCCCAACCACCTCTAGGACCAGGCATCATACAACCGGAAATAGCTCCTATACCCCAGCACCTGCCCAAGGTATCTGAACAGGTAGCCTAAGCCTGCGCACCTTAACTATCAGCCTTGTCCAGTCCCTCCTGTGAAATCCAAACCCACAACAAAGCCCCTGCCTCATGTTCTTGGGGGCCTGAGTGTCACACCTCCCATTTCCAGGGATCTGTGAGCATAAAAAATACTCCTTCCTGTGTAAAAGCCATTTCCAGGTCCACCCATCTCACCTTCTATATACTTCTCAGGCATAACTATTTCTGTAGGGAAGCTACCTACTTCCCAAACCTGGCAAACGCCCTACTGTGTGCAGCACACAGTAGAACTCATGATCATGACACACCCTCCTCCTTCTCCCTGCTCTAGAGTGGGTGAAAATTTTCAAATGACAGAAAAAAATCAGAGATGAGGAGCTTGATATGTGTCCCAGACTGAACAACCACTAGCAGGCTGTTTAAGTATTGCCTTCTCAGGAATGGGCCTGACTAACTCTCATGGGACTCTGCCTTGGACTGTAGCCTGCAAAAGGTATGCATTTGTACATGGCCAACCTACATTTGCCTACTGAGTAGAATGCATACTTGGGATGATTTCATGCTGGCTCCCCCAGCTTCTGGAAGATAGCATAGGAAAATACAGATGCTTGATAAATACTTGAATGAACAGAATCGAAGACACAAATTGCCACCAACCATCAGTGGCTGATGGGAGACTGGCATACAAGGTAACCTCAGGTAATGAAGAGAGGCATGCTCCTCCCTTCTCAGGGTGTCACGGTTCACACACCCCTCCCACATGTGCTCTCTGACAGCTGTCTCCATTTCCCTGGTCCTGGCTGATTCCTTCCATCTTTCAGATAAGAAAGAGGTCCTTGGGTCAGATTCCAATGATTTCCACTGCCCTTTTAACTTGGTTTTAGTACAAACACACTGTTCTGCATTGATAAACTGCTGAGGCCACCTCAAGGAAACAAGCAGGCTTCCTGTCACCAAGGCCTGTGTCCCCAGCACATGAACCAGCAGATGCTCATGTAGCAAGCTCCTACATGTATCAAGCCCAATCAGCAACCTGCCAAGGTGACAAGGAAACCTAGGTTTGGGCCATCAGAGCACTCAAGGTCACAGCTTGGGGTGCCAGCATCCCATATCAGGTTATCTGATATGAGTCCTAGCTACTTTTCTTCCAATACAGCTTCTTGCTAATGCATATGCTGAGAAGATAGTAGATGATGGCTCAAGTTATTGGGCCCCTACCACACACATGGGAAATCCAGATGGAATTCCTGACCCCTACTCCATGCTGGCCAAGCCCCAGCTGTTGTGAGCACATGAGTGAGCCAGCAAATGGAATCTCTGTCTCTGTCTCTGTCTGTCTCTCTCTCTCTCTCTCTTGCCTTTCAAAAGAAAATACAGATAAACAAACACAAGAGGCAGCAGGTCTAAGGCAGACACTGGCAGGTACAGAGAGGAATTCCTAAAGGATCTAGTTAGATGGCAAGGTGGAGGTATAACCAGCTCTTTGAGCTGAGCACTGAGCTCAGCTACTGCACTGCACTGGAGGGCATGAAAACCAGGACAGGGGCAGGGGTGGCTAGACAGAAGGGCACCCAACAGCAAGTGTGGGGCCGGATAGTGGAGCTGGTTGGGTTGAACTAGGCCTCAATGCCAACTGACATGTATGAGAGCTGAATAGGATGTGGGACAGACTGGACTAGTCTGCTGCACATAATGGCAAGTGCAGGAACCAGAATAGGAGGCAGGCCTGGTGGGGGTTATTGTGGGTCACTCTGACTAGGCTACACTCCCATTGGTTTATGTGAGGGCCGAGTATGTGCTGGGCAGAATCAGGCTGGACTGCAACACCCATTGGTTCCAGTGGAAGACAGAGCTAGAAACAGAATTGACCCAGCAACTGCAACTACCAGCTGATTGGGGCGATGGACTGTACTAGGCCCCGCACTTGCAAGTATACACAAAAACCTGGTCTGGGTTCACCTCAGACAAAGTTTCTTTGGGGATCTCCCCCAATTGAACTGCCAGACTCAGATCCCTAAACATGACAAGAGGACAGAACAAATCAATCAACTACCCCAGCCATATGTTGGCAGTGAAAAACAGGGCAAATGGAGACTCTAAAATAGACTAAGTCAATCAGAGGAATACTCCGCGACCTCATCGTGCTTGGAATGGTGAGATTGGCAGCAATTCATAACTGTCGAACTATCAAAACCACTTGAGCAAGACCCTTGCCCCACATCGGGGACCTGGGATGGATGGGTGGGAGACTAGGTGGTACTTCTCCTTTTACCTCCCCCTGTACCCCAGATATAGTAGGAAAAATGTGGAAATGATCGTCTCACCCACTTTCCTGTAGCCTTTGAAACTTTTTGCCCTAATTGACTATGTAAAGATTGTCAAAAATAAAATTTTAAAAATGGAAAAAAAGAAGAAGCTACTGCAACTGTGGCTCATCCCCTGGAGCCCATTACATCAGGACTTCAGGGAGTACAGGAAGTCCTTCACCATCCCAACCGGCATAGCTGCAGCAGCTCTCCTCAAAGGAGCCATGATTGCAAAGAAAGACAGACACCAGGTTCATTCTGTAGAGGTGCTTCCTGGGTTTAACTGGAGCTGGTAACAGCTGTTCTCAGACAGGGCAAGCCTAGTTGGCAGGGATAGTGCTTGCTTGGGAAGAGCAGGGATGCAGGGAGAAGGGGTATGGAATAGAGTGCTTGTAGAAATACCCACAGAGCACAGTGACTATGTACATGGATTTGGGAACCAGAGAAAGGGACTTGAATCTAAGATCTAGTTCTGCCACCTCCTACATATGAAATCTCAAGCAGCTTAATTAATTTCTCTAGGCCTCAGTTTTCTTGGCTATAAAATGAGCATAATAGTAGTCTCTGAGGGCCGATATTGTGGCACAGTGACTAAAGCCACTGCCTAAAGCACTGGAATCCTATATGCTGTAACAGCACCAGTTTGGGTCCTGGTTGTTTCACTGCTAATTAAGCTCCCTGCTAATGCACTTGGGAAAGCAGCAGAAGTGGCCCAAGACCTTGGACTCCTCTACCCATAAAAAGTACCCATACAAGGAGACGTGGAAAGAGCTCCAGTATCCTGGTTCCCAAAAACAGGGACCTCTAAGCAGCTGAAGAGCCAGCATCATTTTAAGGAACTTCAGACACACAACTTCCATCAAATGTTAACTGCTTGATTTTTCAATCTAACCAGGGTCACCTGGTCAACCCGAAGAAGACAAATCAGAATAAACCACTAGATAAATTGAACACAGAAAAAAACTGTTGGAACAAAACAAAACTGATATAGGTGAGAAAACAACCTTTAAAATAAGAATAGACTGTTCTGAGAACAGAGACCTTGAGATGGGAATGGAGGTTCATGGAAGAGCTGGCAGATGCAGTCAAGGACTTCTCCCAGAATAAGGAAGCAAAAAGAGAAAATATGAGATCAAGAGTCAGAAGTGCTAGCAGAACAATCCAGAAGATGCAGCACACAATTCAACTCCTACACGTACTAGGAAAGGAAGTACAGAAAGATGCAGAGGGGAGAGTCCAATAGTTTGGTTAGGAGCTCTATATGCAGGGGTCCCACTGGGCACTGAAACATGCCTTTGGGACACTGGGAACTGTCATGTCTGAAAAAATCTAGAGGAGGAAAAAAATCAGCTCCAAAAGAACAACCATTCTCATACTTTTCATGTAGCCGTGGGTGCTGGAAGATGATGGAGAAGGTCTTCAACAACTAAAGGGAAATGACTTTTATTTAACCTATCCACCCACTAAATCAGTCAGCAATCTAATCAGCAGCTCAGATACCCACCAAGCCAACACTCCAACAACCTTCCAACCAGCGAGCCAACAACACACCTATTTAACAATCAACCATAGGGGAAGATGTAAGTCACTTAGACATGGAAGGACGTAAAACCTGACCTCTCAACCCCATCACATAAGAGATAAACAGATCAAAATAGGGGAAAGATGGCTAGCTGCTCCAAAATTCAGGAGAAATAAACATGTAACATAGCACACAGAATCACAATGCCTCCCCAGCCCTCTGTGGACAACATCTACGTTGTCCCAGTAATGGAAAACATGATTTTCTGATGTTCAACTTTTAGGGTTGGCTGCTACAGGATGCCCCCCAAAAGGCTCTTAACAGTTACAAATGAAAGGTCAGTGTTATCCATCCTGATGTTGATAAATCAAACTCTCAAGGATTGACTTTGAGGGCTGGTGGGGTAAATTGTAAAGGAGGGGATACTGCTAAACAGCCTCATCTCACACAGTGCAGGAATGAGAGAATGTCTATATTGGGTATGGTAGCAGAAGAAATAGATTACTTTGATGATCTACAAATAGATGAGCTAAAATTAACAATGCCCTTGAACTGAAGAAACTAGCAGGGAGAGGGAATACAAGGAAGCGAAATCAGCACCCATCAAGGCAGGACCTCAGCAGGCACAGGGGAAAGGGGGAAAGGAGTAAGTTGGCAAAGAGCAGCCTGCATGCACTCTTGGAAGGCCACCATCACCAGCAGAAAGAACAGACAATCGAAAAATGTCAAGCTGGGTGGCAAGGTGTAAGGCAAGGGACAGGGGGCTTTTCCTTCAGTTTCATGATCTTGATTTTTCATGAGCATATGATGATTGGAACGAAGGAGAATAGTGTCACCTCCTTTATTCCCCTTTCCTTCCATGATCTCTGCTTGCAGCTGGCTCTCACCTACTTCCTCCATCTACTCATTCACTTCTTTTTTTAAAAAAATTTATTTTTATTGGAAATGCAGGTTTACAGTGAAAAGGAGAGACAGAGAGAAAGATTTTCCATCCACTAGTTCATTTCCCAAGTAGCCACAATGGTCAGAGCTGATCCAAAATCAGGAGCCAGGAGATTTCCTCCAGGGTCTCTCATGTGGGTGTAGGGTTCCAAGTCTTTGGGCCATCTTCTACTGCTTTCCCAGGCCCCAAACCAAGCAGCTGGATGGGAAGTGGAGCAGCCAGGACATGAACTGGAGGCCCATATGGGATCCTGGTGTTTGCAAGGCAAGGACTTAGCCACTGACCCATTTCATTTGGGTCCCACTCATTCACTTCTAAGCATATCACAAGCCTACACACAGGGTCAGACTCAGAGACGCCCTGAGTTTGAGGTTAGCCCTCAGAGTCTTCATTCTGGCAGGGAATGGACCTCAGCTTTGCAGGGCAAAGTCCTGTCAGCCCCTCTGAGCACCTGCCCAGTGGCCTAAGCTCCAGCTTCATTCCTGGCATCTCTGCAAAGCTCCCAGTTCCAGAAAGAACAGTAAGAAGTAGCAGGGGAGGGCCACCCTGGGAGTGACCAGGTGTGACCCCATCTAGATGTGAATACAGGCAGCAACTGTAGATTTTTATTTAAACATGAAGCAGGTGCAAGTGATTCAAACAAGAATTCGTGATGATCTCCTCATAGCAGATCTTCCCACAGATTCCTCCCGCCCCTGGGACGGTCAGTGAGCAAGACAGCTTCCATGTGGGGATTTTCTGGCTGACTGCTTTCTAGCACTGATTTGAGCCATTCTGGATCTGAACCATTCCCAGATGAATCATGTGCCTCCCACCCTCTAGGCTGGAGCACCAGCTGACATACCATGTGCCTGAGGGGACAGGAATGCATGGATCCATCTAACCTTTTCCTGATGACGCAGGGTGGAGCACCATGAGCCTGCAGATGGCCAGATACTGTCATGGCCACTCAAATCAGAGCCTGGCCTCTGGGACCTTCCTGTCACAGAGCTGGAGGACCAAGTGACTCACAAAAGGAGGTGCAGAGCTCGCTGCTCCTAAACACCTCTCCTGCAGATCACCAGGGCTCAGGGATCCTGGAACATGCACTTGCCATGGGAGAGACAGGCTATGCAAGGCCAAGCTAGACCACGGAGTCAGCAGTTGGGATGGCTACTCAACCCAGGAATTCTATCCTTGGGAACCAATGACAAATAAGAACTAAAGCTTGATATCACTACCATGAGAGGACCATAAGGAGGGACAAAGTGGCCCTGGGTCTACCACAACCCATATTGTGTTTCAGGCTCAAAGCAAAGGATTTGGGCAGGCCAGTTCTCCTTACATAATTTTTATTTTTAAAGATTTATTTATTTATTTATTTATTTATTTGAAAGGCAGAGCTACAAAGACAGAGGGAGAAGGAAATACAAAGAGAGAGGTCTTCCTCTTATTGAATCACTCTTCAAATGGCTGCAATGGCCACAGCTGGGTCAGTCCAAAGCCAGGGGCCAGAAGCTTCTTCCCAGTTTCCCATGTGGGTGCAGGGGCCCAAGCACTGGGACCATCATCTGCTTCCATCCCACGTACATCAGCAGGAGGCTTGATCAGAAGAGGAGCAGCTAAAACTTGAATCAGTGCCCATACTGGATCAGCACTTCAGGTAGAGGTTTAGTCTGACAGACCATGACACTGGCGCTCTAGGTTGGTTGTTTTAAATCCAATTCTGCATGGAAGCTGAAGAGGGTGCTGCCATTGGCTAAACTGTGTCCCTTTAAATTCCTATATTGGAGTCCAAGCCCCAGTATCTCAGAACAGGGCTGTGTTTGGAGAAGAGGGTCATTATAGAGGTAACGAGGGTAAAATGAGGCCATCAGTCAAGTCCTTAAGGGCACCTTAAATGACAGGTGCCCTTCTAGTAAGAGGTACTTGGAACACAGTCAGGACATAGGCTGTGAAGCTACATGTGGGGACACTGTGATAAGGCAGCCAGCTCCTCTCCAGGAAGACAGGAGAACCGGTCTCACCAACACCCAGCCTCCAGGATGGCCAGAGATCATTGAGCTGTTGGCCGTGACTCCTGTCTATGCTCTGGGTGCCTGCCTTGGCCACTGAGCCAATCCTGCTTCAATCCCTCCTCTGGGGCAGCAGCTGACACCCTGTCTCCTGCTGGAGTGTCAGGGTTCAACTGTGTTGTTAATCCTAGCCTCCTGCTCATGCACATTCTGGGAAGTAGCTGGTGTACATGCAACGAAAACTCAGACTAAGTTCCAGGCTCCCAGCTCCAGTCTGGCCCAGCCCCAGCTTTTATACTTGTTATATAGGCATTTGAGGAGTGAATTACCAAATGGAAACATTCTCTTTTTCTCTCTCCCTTTCCTGTCTTTGTCTCTCTTTGTGTCATCATCCCAAACAAAACAAAAATAAGTAAATAACTTAAAAAAAAAAAAAACCCTCCATGGGTATCTACTGCCCTCAAAGAGACAAAACTCAGACTTGGGTCTCTACCACAAAGCCCCCATCTGCCCCACCTGTGCCCCTAGTTGTACTATCAGCATCCCCAGGCTTGCTCCTGGCATGGGGCCTTTGTACACACAGGCTGTCCCTTCCATCTGAAATCCTCCTGACAGGAGGACCAACCTCAGGAACACCTTGCCTAATAAACCCTGCCCCTACTCCAGCCAAGATCAACTTCCCACCACCTCACACTTCTATTCTAACGTCTGTTCCCACCTTGCTGGGCGGAGGGCTCCCTGGCAAGGAGCCATTGTCGTGCATGCTGAGCCCAGAGCCAGGAGAGCAGGTGAGAGGTGCATCTTGTGCTTATTCTGGATGGAGCACACAGACCACAGAGTAGTGTCGGAGCCATCACTTCTGCAGCTCATGACAGCTGGGCAGTTGGTCTCAGCTTTGGGGCTTTCCAGCCAAACTTACAGAGGCTATGCATGACAGCCCAGAAAAGCTAATGCCAGTGCTGCTCTCCCAAATAGGAGAGCGGTGGAAGGAAAGAGAAAGAGAGGGGACATGAATATTTATGCAGCTCCTACAAGCGTGCTACTCTATGGGTGCCTGGGACACTTCTCACACAAAGCTTCCCAGCTGACCTCCACAGCAGCTCCCCAAGGGGGGATAACACTGACCCTGCCTGCACAGGCAAGCACAAAGGCTCAGAGAAGTTAAGTCATTTGCAAGGAGACTCAGAGTTGGAAAGGCCCAAAGTGAATTCTGGATCTGGGGCTGCCCAAGCCCAAGACCCTATCTCTTTCTGTGACATACACAACTGAGAATCACTCCAGTCAGGAGGGTCACACATAGCCATGGAGCCAAGTACAAACTGAATTTCAGTAAGAGGCTCCCAGGTGCTCTGACTTTTACACAAGCGGAGTCCAGTGATGCTGACCAAGGACACCAGTAACTGAGCCAGGGACTAAAACTCCCACTATACCAAAGGTGACCTTGCAAGCTGGGTGCTTTGCCATACAGCAGTCTCAGCCTCCCACATCCCTGCCCTGCGGTGCTTTGCGAATGCTGAATGACAGGATGGTGGCCTTGGGCCACCAGATCTTTATCCCACTTTGTTTCCAGTCCCCTGCCTTCCGCCCTCCCCACCCTGCACCGCCAATGCAGCCCCGGCCACACTCACATGGACAGCACCTTCACCTCCAGGATCTCGTGCCTCAGCTCCAGGCATCTTGTGGAATTATACTCAAAAGGCCCCTCGTAAAACTCAAAATACCTGTGAATCAACAGGAACAGTGGTTACACAGAGTGGCTTGCTGAGCTCTTCCCACCCAGCCTAGCTCTTGGCAGTGGGGGTAAGGAGTTGGGGGTGGGGACGTTAAATCCATCCCTGGCAAAGCAGCTCCCACCGAGCAGATGAGCTGGCTGGGGTTGGGAGGGGACCCTGCACCTTGTGGCTGATGACTGGAGTGATCAGTGCCTCTCAACAGCCTACCACCCTGGGTGTGTACACACTTGGAGGGACAAAGAGACTATTCCCATGACAGTGAGATCCAGAAGTAGTAGGTGCAGTTCCAAGTTCACGGCCACAAAGGAAAGGGGAGAAAGAGGGAAGTTCTGTGCCCTGTGATGGGGAGGGCATAGAGGCCAGCATCTGCCTCCTACCTCACAAAGCCTCTCCATTTCCATCAGCACCAAGCATCCTCCTGCCCATGCTGTTGTGCAGCTGAGACTGACATTTCTCTCCTCCCAAACAGACGGAACCCCAGGTCTACCCAGCATAGCGGAGCTTGGTCTGGGGTTGGACTATGAAGCAGCCCAGGCCTGAGTCCAAGCCACTTCCCATAGCTGCTGGTGGATGCACTCACCTTCCACCCTTCTCACTGGCCTCCTCCCAGTGCAACCTGCACTGGCCTCCCCTCAACCCCTCCCTAGCCCCCATCAGGAATTCCCTGACTCATCTGGGAGTTCACTATCTCACTCAGAGTCACTCAGCTCTGGAGGTAGAACCAAAACATGAATATGCTCATGGACTCAAGACTTGGAAAGCTGGTACCCCTGGGTTCTGCAGCCTACTCACAGGGGTAGGGATTTGCCTGGAGGGGCAGAAGTTGACTGAACACTCCTCCCCACATGGCCTTTCTTTGGAGATGAGAAGACACCTGTCAGGGTAGGGGCAAGTGAGTGCTCAGCTCTTCTGGCTTCTCTGTGAAGCTGCTGAGCAGTGGGGGCAGGTACAGTGGGAAGTCCTGGATCCCAAGGCCATCTCAGCCATGTCAGTCAAGTGGGCACTGAGCTCTGGGAAACGGTACCAGGCACAGGAAATGTAAGCATGCCTGGAGCATTTCTCACAGCCCTCCCAGTCTAGGACAGTGTCACTTTACAGGCATCCTTCCATGCCAGCCATATCACCATGCACAAGAGCATGGCTCGTAGGCCTAGAATCCTTCAAACAGGCCTGCTTAGGCGTCAGATGGGAAAAAGACATTGTACCCACAAGATGGATGTCCTCAAAGCATGCTAAGAATTTAAATAATTTTAATTTCATTTCATATTTAACATCCCTAAAATTGAAGCTATAAATATTAGTTCTTACTAACTTAAAGTATGATCTAATAGCAATAAATAAATAAAATAATTACTTATAGAATTTATAATATTTTAGAATATGAAAGCATTTTACATCACAAATTGGTCCCTTTTTACAAAACAGATGGGCTCCTTGCCCTCACATCAATGAAAGAACAGAGGTGGTCAGTAGGAACGGGATAGAGTGCCTGACAGTTAAGATGCCTGCCTCCCACATCAGAGCACCTGGGTTTGAGGCCTGGCCACACCCCAATCCCAGCTACCTGCCAGTGTTTACCCAGACAGGCATCAATGCCCTCAAGTACTCAAGTCCCTCTCACTCACATGGATGACCTAAATTGAGTTCCCAGCTTCTGGCCTCAGGTTAGCCAAGCACTGGCTGCTGCAGGTCTTTGTGTAGCGAATTGATGGATGAAAGATCTCTCTTTGGCCTCTCAGATAAACAAAGAAATAAATGTTTAAAGCAAGAGCCAGCTATGGAAGAATCATAAGATACCAAACTTGACCCTTCCTGCCTGTGTCTCTTATGCTTCAGAAATACCTTTCTCCGCCTTAATCCCTTGGAAAACTCACACTGGTCCTTTAGCACCCAGCACCAGCACCCACACTTTTGGGAAACTTTCTTCCATCTCCACTTCTGGGCTCTCTGCACATGGCCTCTTTTTTTTTTTTTTTAAGATTTATTTACTTTTATTGCAAAGTCAGATATACAGAGAGGAGGAGACAGAGAAAGATCTGCCGTCTAACGATTCACTCCCCAAGTGACTGCAACAGCTGCTGGAGCTGAGCCAATCCAAAGCCAGGAGCCAGGAACCTCCTCCAGGTCTCCCACACGGATACAGGGTCTCAAGGCTTTGGGCCATCCCCGATTGCTTTCCTAGGCCGCAAGCAGGGAGCTGGATGGGAAATGGAGCTGCCAGGATTAGAACCGGTGCCCATATGGGATCCCAGTGCATTCAAGGCAAGGACTTTAGTCACTAGGCCACCTCACCGGGCCCTGCACATGGCCTCTTAACTAGAGCAAACCACAGTGTGCTAGCTAGTGGTCAGTTAATATATCTGTGCCTCTTTACAAACTGAGCATCTCAAGTGTGGGACCCTGTTACCATTCAACCTTCTGCTCTCCCAAGGCAGGCAAGCTCGAAACTACATCTCCTGGCATTCTTTGCAGCCAGAATCTTGGGTGCCCTTTAGGTTCAGCCAATCACCTGAAAAGCACCTGTCCAAGACTGATTCAGAATTGTTAGGGGAGATACACAGCAGGTTCAGTGTTTGTTTGTTTTTTTTTTTTTTATTGGAAAGGCGATATACAGAGAGGAGAGAGAGAGAGGAAGATCTTCCGTCCCATGATTCACTCCCCAAGTGAGTGCAACAGCCGATGCTATGCCGATCCGAAGCCAGGAGCCTCTTGCGGGTCTCCCACACAGGTGCAGGATCCCAAAGCTTTGGGCCGTCCTCGACTGCTTTCCCAGGCCACAGGCAGGGAGCTGGAAGGGAAGCAGGGCTGCCGGGATAGAACAGGCGCCCATAAAGCATCCCGGGCGTGAAGGCGAGGACCTTAACCACTTGCGCCACCGTGCCGGGCCCGTGGTTCAGTGGTTTTGCTGGTGCAAAACCACATGGCCACGGTGGCAGAGCTTGTGGAAACTGCCGTCATGGCAGCACCCCTGTGATCGGCTCTGGGCTTTCACGAGGCTCCATTTCACAGCAGGCATTCCTGGAGGCCCAGGCTCTTTCAGCTTTCCAGGCAGGGAGGTAGGGGTGGGGAGCAGCGGGTGGCATGCTGGGAGGCTGTGCCCTTACTACATGCCTCTGTCTTCTAATGAGTTAGCACAGGTCCTGTTCTCTGTGGCTACCAGGCAGGAGTTGGCCTAACACCTTGATACAGTCCACAACCTTGGCGCTGGCTTGTGTGGTTTTCCAGTCACTCAGCGGCAAGTGAAGGTCAGGTGTCTGATCACAGAGCTCATGATGTGCAACCCAAGCCAGACTCATTGTGCCCTTAGAATCCACCAGGTCTGTGGAAGACAGGAGGCTACAGTCTTCGCCCACAGGAAGCGAGGAGGTTGGGTACTCGGCCCCGAGGCAACTCCAAGCTGGCTGTGTGGGTCTCAGGGAAATTAAGCCTGCAAGACCCCGCCTTAGCAGTTCCTGCCAGGGCAACCATAATGAAGGCCCTGCCACATCACCACTTGCTTTTCTGTCTCTGGACTGACCTGGTGCCCCCCGTCCCCGGTGGTTCTGCCTGGCGAGCCATGCCTCTTGCTTCTAGTGACCAACTACAGCAATCCCTAGTCACCCTGAAAATACTCCATACAATGCCTCAGCCAAGTTATCACAACTGCCCTTGCCTATTACTGGGTGTTAAGTTTCAACTTTCCATCTAGAAAATGGGTCTGATAGCCCTTGTTTCCCAGGCCATCCTGCCCAGGCTTGGTTCTGGGCAGATATACTACTCCAGCCTCGCATTAAGCAATGATTGACTTTGTGAGAAGCACAGCCACCCCGGTCACCCCCAGCTTCTGGTCTTGTCCGAATGCCCAAGGGCTGCCATCTGGAGGGAACCACAGGAATCCTGTTTGGCCTGGGTCTAGAGACCATGGCACAGCCACAGAAGATGAGGTCAAATGAGTGGCTGGCCTAGTAGCTGAGAGATCAGTTAGGAAGCTCATGCCCCACACACAAGGGTCTAACCCACCTCAAGCTCCTGACTCTGGATGCAGATCCTGGGAGGCAGCAGTAATGGCACAAGTGATTCAGTTCCTGCCACCCGTGCAGGAGATTAGGGTTGAGTTATAGTTTCTTGCTATAGCCCAGCCAAGTCCTGACTGTTGTAAGCACTTAGGAAGAGAACAAACAGATGGGAGGGATTTTAAATTTTGTGTAATGACATGAGAAGATGCTCATATGAAAATGTCAAAGGAAAAGAGCTAGTATGATAGTTCAATTGGTTAAACCTCTGTCTGTAAGTGCCAGAATCTCATATGAGCACCAGTTCATGTTCTGACTGCTCCACTTCCCATCCAGTTCCCAGCTTATGACCTGGAAAAGCAACAGAGGATGACCCAAGTTCTTGGACCCTTGCACCTTCCCAGGAGACCCAGAAGAAGCTCCTGGCTCCTGACTTCTAGCTTTGGATCAACTCAGCTCTAGCCGTTGCAGCCATTTGGGGAGTGAACCATGGAACCAATGGAAGACCATTTTCTCACTCTCCTCACTATAAAATCTGCCTTTGCAATAAAAATACATAAATCTTAAAAAAACAGAAAATGAAAAATGAAGAATGCAGTTCACAAAATTGTAGTCTCCAAAAAAGAATTACACACACTTGAATGCAGCAAGAAAGGAAGCAACTATAACACGACATTCAGAAGGTATTTTTGGATCAGACTGAGTGACTTTTCACATGCTTTTCCGTATTTTGGTAAACTTTCTGTAAAGGGGTTATGATTCTCATATGGTGGCAACTAATAACAAAACATTCCTCTCTTTCTTTAGATCAGGGCACTCCCTCCAGTGAGCTTGAACTTGCCCTCCGCCTGCATGCAGGCAAGAGAAGCTCTCTGACCTTCTGAAAGTGCACTAGCACTCATCGGGAGTCAGACACTGTCTCTTCTTTCAGTTCTGGAAAGACTATCTCCCCTCCTAGGGCAGCTTACAGGTATAAATAGCCCCAGCCAGTCACAC